CTTAGAACAAAAGTGCAAAGAGAATTTAAAATTAAAATTTGTGGGTTTCTACTGGATAGTTAAAATAGATGGAATTTCTGAAACATATATGCAACGCTCATTTCAGGAATTACATTTCGAAGGGGGATAAAATGTAACGGTGACTTGATTAGAAATATTGGAAAATCCCAGAGTACTGGGCAGCAGCTAAATCCAGGTTTCGGACAGTTTAGCAGTGTGGACCACAGAGAATAGAACCCTCCTATAACCAGGAGAGTTCGTAGACAATTCACCCATTAGGCTGCATTAAAGAGGAGGATCTAGTGTATATTCCCAGCTATAAAAATAAATATTATTACTAGATAGTTGGATGAAACAGCCAGGAAGCCCTGGAACTAGATTTCGTGATAAATGGCACACGTCAGAGAAGCTTATCTGCAAAATTTGAAGGAACCCAGGTCGCTTCTGAGACTTCAACAAAGGTAACTAAACGGTGCACACAGAGACCTTACACTAGACGTCACTGACTCCATGAAGATACGCGCTGCTGACGAGTGCCAACTAGCACGAAACCAAGGTCTAAGGTTTCCTGCCGATTGCCTTCAACCATCTAATATCATCAAATTTAAAAACAGATAAAAGATATTTACCTGAGAATAACTGAACATATCAGTATATATTCGGCATCTTCTAGTGGTTAGTTTCGAGATATTTTCCCTGACTTCCTAATAGTTTTTCACATTCTTGATACTTTTATTCTCCAGGGTCCAATATTCATTCATCTGATAATTTGCCCATTGTAATACTTCTAAACTACAAATCCGCTGAAGTCATTATTTTCTGATTTCTATCATTTCTTGAATATCTCTTGTAAAAAAATATCGTAGTTTTCATATAGAGAATTATACTATAATTTATTTATTGGGGCAATGTGAGATAATCTCAAATTGGCAAATTGATAATGATTTAATCAAAAGTTAGTTGAATACTTGAACAAAAAGCAGCTTAATATATATTCCAAAAATTGGAACTGACGTCATGAGCACTAGTGGATTCAAGAATTAACCCACATGATATGAGAACTAAGAGTTCTGCTGTGGTCGACGGTGGAATTTTTCTATGAACAGTTCTTGGTATTACTCACTTATTTAATCAGTTCATTATTACTTCAACAGTTTGCCAAATCTAGTTCTATTTTTCCATATATATATTGACTAATTAGGACCTAAGAGACAATGAGATTCATTAAGAATTTATAACTGCCTAGTTAAACATTCTGATTTGTTGTGATGTCAGACATAATCATCCGTCATGTGTGAGTATCATCGTTATTCGCGGATTATTCCGAAACGAATAAATGCATGCAATGTGGACTCATAAGTAATTTTCGAAATTCTTCTTCATTCCTTGAGTTCCGAGTGCAACATAGGCTTGTGGCTTTGAAGTTTCAGTATCATTGGAGTTGTGGATTTTTACGAGATGGAGTTGGTAGCCTCACGTCTGACCTCTTCTCTTTTCGGGATTTACTATCTGAATAAAGCAAGAACAACATTTTTTCCAGAACAATATGGTACTGTCATTTATTTTGTTGGCTTCTCATCAGCTGGTTACAACCAATTAAGTTTGGCAAAGTTCTACAATAGCGTCCCAAAGGATACGAACTCACCAGTGACCTTGAACCTACCAGTCAGAAAAATGAGGGATTTTTGCATAAAATTTACGTATATTTAGATAAAAAAAAAAGCATGAAAAAAAACATTAAACAGTGTATTTTACTTTGATGAGACAAAAATATGCCTCAGTTATAATGGGGAGTGTCAGTTTTTAAATTAAACCAATTTCTATACATGTATTCATCCAGGTGACTGAAAATAACTTGGTTTTGAGAGCCATTTACTGCTCTTATTCTATTTTTTAATCTTCCCCAGAAACCTTCTATTGGATTAGTATGAGAGCCTGTTCTGGGATCAACGAAATCATCGGAATGGTTAACTCGGTTGCGTATATATCCCAAATCCGATAATTGGTTATATCCTCCCATTCACCCGTGTGTATAGTAGTGCCAGGCAAAACGGGTCTTTGAATAATAGGCAGAAGAGTGTCGGCACTCCTATCTGGAGTAAGTTCAATGAATCCTTTCTAACTTTGGGTGTCATAAATTCCCAATACCCAAACGTTGTTAGCTCTAGCACGTCTGCGATTGTATTTCTTCTTTATAAACACTGTTTCGTCAATATGAACGATAACACTGACTCCTCCCAACAATTGTGTAATATTGTTTATTTTCCATGATGCTAGATCTCGACAAAATTGAAACCACTCCACAGTATATATAAACGCATTTTCTGTCTGAGCGACAGCTGACCTCACTCTGGACTTCAAAATCCAGTAATGGCAAAGAAACAATGTATTCGTCAAAGAAATTTCCTAGAAGACAATTAAGTGAGAGTGTCACTTACCAGTACAAACACTTGTTCGTTTCCTACACTCCGTACATCTAAATATATATCCATCAATGACCTGTGAATACGGCTGCAGGCTCATTGAAACACCACAACTACATATACGAGTACGTCCTATCAATCCATAATCCAGACAGTATTGAAATACGTGATCTAGGTGAAATTTGCACCTGTGCAAATGAACAGCGTTCATTTTCGCGCTAGAATAATTGCAGGTTTCTTCAACCAACCACTAGCACGAGTGCAAGGTCATTTCAGCGTTCGCACTCCTTGGACGCTTTTCTTGAACTTCGTTTTAAATTTGTTACTTTCTAACTCCTTTACCATTGTATGCATACATTTACTTTGTTTAAACTTGAACTCCCTGTGTAAAAATTATATAAGCTTAATTTTCTGGGCACTGTTCACTAAGTTCGGAACTTCCCATTAACTGACATCATGTAGAATTTGCAAGTATATTAAAACTTTTCTGTACATAGACTTAATGACCATTTATTAAATATGTTCGGTTATTCTCAAGTGAATATTTGCTATTTGTTTTTGAATTTTTAACACTTTTATGAAGCCGAAATGATTAAAATTCTGTTCGTTTTCTGACTATTGATAAAACATATTGTGAAAGCAATAAGGAACTTTGATATCAGCACACCAGCCAACAATCTATCGTCTAACAAATGCGAGGAAGAAAACAGAGCTGGATTGGATATATACCTAAGACACTGTTGAGTAACATCACATGCCAGGCCCTTGAGTGGAGTCCTAATGGGAAGCAAATGGTTGGGTGTCCAAGAGTGACATGAACAAGACCATGTGAAGAGGAAATGGAAGCTTGTAGAAAGTCATGAAAGCCATCTAAAACGGACTAGAGAAAACAGAGTGTAAGGAAGATGTTTTGTTCCACTCGGAAAGCAAAACACGAATAATAATAATAATAGTTATTATTATTATCATTACCATTATTATTATAGCTGACAAAACACGCTAGGTTCTCCGTCTTATTGTAAACTAATGGCTGAATGGTCTACCGGCTAGCCTTACAACCAGAGGGTTCGAACCACAGTGGTTCACACACTGATCCCAGACTAGGATGAAACAGCAATCCAGTACTCTCAGGTTTTCCATTGTTTCTCCATCCAATATCAGTTCGTGATCAAACCTGAAGCCAATCAAATCCTTGCAAATTAACATTTGTTAATTAGTTGTCATTAGCAATCATTCATTTTCTGTCGTGTTTCTTCTTTAGTGATCATTATAAACATCCCAAATAAATTCCCATTTATAAATGATGTCTAGACATGACATAGTATCCGAAATTATGTAAAAGATTCACAGTTCTGAATATCTCATATTACGCATAAATGTATATCTTGTATTTAAAGGGTTTTATTAATTATTTACACAACTGCAAGTCAACATAGGAAGTGCTTTCGAAGTAACTGGTTCTAAGATGTCTCGGTCTAGTCTTCTACTCACTCATAAACTAACATTTCATTTACACTTATTTCGTATCTGGCAGACAATATTTACTGATGTTATTTCATCTTAAATGTTTATCTTATATGGCGTAAACTTGTCTCCGTGTATCAGTATGATAGCTATGCTTACGGATCCACTAAACCCTGCAAAGTTTTCCATTCAGAGAAATAAAGGTGAATTTTTAGATCAGGATGAGAATGGAAACTATTTCATGTTCTCCGAGCTTTAGTACTTTATAACGAACTTTTCACTAATGACTTAAAAAGTCTGTTATGATCATTAATTTGGGTATCGCCTACCTTATCACACTGTATTCGTTCGCTTGTTATTGCAGCAGCATTTATTCTGAACTAATAAAAAATGTACATATGAGTTGGTAGCCTCACGTCTGATATCCCCTCTTTTCGGGGTTCACTAAGCGAGGTTTGAGAAGCCAACATTTCAACCTGAGACCGAGCACTTCGATCCAATCAATCGACGGGAAAAATCTAAAATTCAATTAAAACACAGAAATATAGTTTGAGGTTTAAATTCTGGAATCATCATATTGGAGGGATAACAACTAGAAAAGCCAGTTTCAGTTTAGTAATCTCCTTATCACTTTACTTAAACTGAATGCTCACAATAAAATTCTGTTTTACTGGAATTTACTCATTCAGTACATCTTTTAATTACATTACAGACTGCAATCTATTCTCCCCTTCTTTATACAAACCACTTATAATATTGCTTGTTTTAAGGCTTGTCTCTGTTGTGATTGGTTATAAACATCTAGATAGACAGACAATCATTCAAACGAAGCGGACCAACAGTGTTTGTATGCGTTCTTTAGATCAGTACACAATACTTCTATCCTTCTTTCAAACAAATGAAATTTTAGGAATTAAAAAAATAGAAAGAAGAGCTACATGTATATATATATGTATATATATTCCCCCCTTTAACATATTCACCTTTTTATGTCGAATGAACGGCTGTTTGTTTCACAGAAGTAGAGCATTAAGCGAACATACACACACTCACACGACATTTATATTATATATTATATCTAGTGTGTTCATGTTTGTATATGTACGTGTGTTTATTTCTCAATACAATAAAATTCACACATATTTTCATGAAAATTTACTAAAGAACTTTAATGTCATTCATTTTCATTCTATCGCGTTAAAATATTGTACTAAAATGTCACATCCATGTACCAATAACATAATTATTATTATAGTATTCTGAATGAGTGACCGCCAACAGAAACCGAGCAAATACTCACTGAAAACAGTATTTTATTGTCTGAAGTATAATTTATGAACTGACAACAGAGAGAATAATTTATTTTCACCGCTACTATAATTAATGAATAATAATACTACTATTACCAGAAAATTTGCCGATTTTCCAAAATAGCTTTTATATTCGTATATTCACTTGAGAAAAGAGAAGATTTACATGATGGGAATGGATGTTCATGTATACACAATCAAACAAGCACACAAATCCATTGAATTTACACACTAGTTCTTGATCATAAGTCATTATTTTTTCGTGTGATATTCTCTACCTGTCTCTTACTTCCCCGTCACTCTCTCGTTTTCTCTCTCTCTCACTGTATCCTCTATTCCTGTGTCGAATCTGTCCTCGATGTCTTGTTTCAATTTAACATTTTAATGCAAAGAAAGTATCAGTTGGATTTAGTGCAAGCAAAAGTTAAGTAATGTTCAGTCGTATTATCACACATTCATATATTTCTAAAACGTTTTCTATTGAAGGGGTGATAGTGTAAAATATGCATCAAATTCTTAATATATAAACACTCATACACTCAATCAAACTAATGAGGTTATCAAAGAAAAATATATCATCAAACCAAATTTAATAATTAAGATCTTCATTGACTTGATCAGATTGTGTTTGTGTGTGCTTTATATTCCAAACAGAGAAACTGAAAAAGATACTAGGGAGAAGGAAAATTAATTATATCCAGTTATATTAATTCTTAATCAATGAGTGTTCTACTCAGTATGCAAAATTCGCAAACTATTGTTAATTTGCCAAAACATATGATTGGTTCTAATTATACTACAAGTATATGCAACCTTGTCAGTGGTAGGCGTAGTGTCGGAAGTGGTGGTGATGATGAAGATGGTATTTGTAGGAGGAATCATATAACAGCAACAACACTATCCAATTATCCGTTAATTCACTCCGATAGTGAATGCATAAGTATATCGAATAGGCCTCAATATGATGTATATATGAGGCATCCAATAGTAATAACAACAACAGATTCTATAGATAATTTTAATGAAAATTTTATAACACAATCACAACATTCTCAAAAACTTGATTATCACTGTCTTCATCATCTGTCTAACCCACAGCATCAACATCATTCATCACTTAATTATACACTGCCTCAAATTTCTCACTTATCACTAGTGGAATTCAATTCACCATTTCATATACGACCAAATAATCGATCAATATTCTTCAAAAGTAATCATCAAAGTGCATGCGATATTTGGGAAAATTCTAAACCAGACACTGAATTGACATCCTGCTTATCCTCATCATCAACAGCAAAAATAACGTCATCGTCATCGTCTTCGTCGTCAAATAATCTTGATCGTCCACATCAATTTATCTCTTCGTCTGTTCCGAGTCATTACCATTCGCCTAATCAACTGCAACATCAACAGTTACAGCAGAACTTTTTACATGAAAATCAAAAAATGTTAAATTTATACTCTAATTCAATGGAACCATTTCACAATAAGAACAATAATAGTATTGGTGATAGTAATCATAGTTCTGATGTAAAAAATTCAGGTTTTTCAAATTATTCACGTTTCATTGAAACACATCAAAGGAATGTTGAAACGTTCGGTTTTATTTCTTCAGAAGAAATGAATGTGATGCAAAGTTCCAATTTCCAACCACCAACAATTCCACAACAACAGATTAGTGGTGCTCATGATAATTTATATGAAATAACAAACAATTCATGGAAATTTATTGACCCTGAACAGTCTGTCCATAATACTTCTACTACTGCTACTGCTACTACTACTACTACTACTACTACTACTACTACTACTACTACTACCACTACTACTACTACCAATAATCATAACAGTAGTAGTAATTTAACTGATAAATTTAATACAGTGGGAGAAAATACCACAGCAATCACTAATGTCAGTGGTGATCGTCGTCGTCGTCGTAGTAGTAGTAGTAATAATAATAATAATAATCACACTATTAATGAGAGTTTGCATTCATTTACTCCATCTGATCCAATTCGTAATAATTTATCAACCAATTACTTACATTACTCGAATATATCAAATGCACTGACAACACCGCATTGTTTATCATCAAAATTCGTGTCTTCTGCATCGCATTTTAGATTAGGTGGGTCAATATTATCAAAGAGCAATCAACATACACTGCAAAGTTCATTTCACCTAGATAAAGATGATCTCTTATTAGATAAATATTCGAATCAAAATACTATTAATTCTATAAGTAATATCAACACTAATACTACTACTAATAATAATGGTAATATTAATCGTCAGCCAAATCTTACTGTTATCTATCCTTGGATGAAACGTGTACACTCGAAAGGTGAGTTATTTATAAAATGAATAGTATGTTATATATATATATATATATGTATATACATATATATATATATATATATATAAAGAATGCCTAACTGTTGAGATTGTATCTCAGCAACTAGTGGATTTAAATGTAGTTTACATAATGAAGTATTATCACTAAACTGAAGTACTTAACACAGTTTGATACTACTGAGTGATACAATGTTGAAACCTAGATGTATGACATCGAAATGATGTAAAATGAAGTCAATGGGTTGAAGTTTTCAACACTTACCACTTCATAAAGGTGATCATCATCACCATATGACTTATGTTGGTATAGGAGATAAATGATGGCCTTTGATATACCTTATATGCTTTTCAGCCTCTGTTCCATTTGACATTTAGTGCTAGTGTAATTATTCGATCTCATGGTCGACTTTATGCAGCTTTCTGATTTACCGTGTATTCTATTCCTTTTTGACAAGTTACTGATAAAAATGATCCTTGAAAAGGAATTTTAACTGTTTGTCTCTAAATATCCCATTTAAATAAATAAGTTACTCATTTACCATCCTTTTCTTTGACTGAAAGATAATTCAAATTTCGGGTTTATGGGAACATCAATTAAGTTTAGGGTATATTTCGTCACGAAGCGAAATCCATAAAAGGACCACTGAAAACGAGAGACTATTGGGCAGCCATTTCCTCATACTTTGGTAATGTTCAGGAATGCTCACTAGTAACCACACCAGGTATCGACCAGACTTACACTGAAGCTAATCAAAATTCCTACAAATCTAAAATCCAAATACCAGTCTCCTACCCATAAGGAGCTATAGGCTGGGTATCCTGAATTTCTAGTGGAAATTAATGTCCGGTGGGGTCCATCGTGTCATGTGTGAATCGGTAGCTCTTTCATGCAACCAGCTGACAGTAAGGAAAACTAATAGTAGTTGGAAGTCATGGGTCAGTGGATTTCGCCCCAGTGGGTGAATGCTGAACGCTTTGGTCTCATAAGCCAAAGGTCCTGGTTTTGGCCTTATGATAGGGATACAAGTACGCACTCCTAGGGTGTCACAAACTAAAATAAAACAGCTACCTAATACTTCCTAGTTTTCAGCCGTCCTATAAATGATGTCAGTCCCTTGATAAAATTAAAGCCTAATTATTGAATTACACAATAAATTGAAAGGGTATTTAAAAGCTTGTTAATGGACAAAAAGCTAAATTATAATTTCTAAAATTAGAAGAACACGTTTCCATCACTTCAAGTTATTTCAGTTGACAATGTTACTTTAAAATCCAATAGAAGTTATTTGGTTTCATTTTATTAGAGAACGAGAAATATTCCCGTCAAAATACTACTTGTTTCCGATACAATGTTTTAAAAATCTCTCTGACGCTCCACTGAATATTTTTCCAAGTGTTGGTTTGTAGGGATTTGATTGGTTACAGGATTTCATCATGAGCTGACATCAGTTAGAGAACCATTGGAAAACCTGGGAGTACTGGACAGCTGTTTCGTCCTAGTCTGGGACTCTTTCATCGGCATGCACCATAACTCCACCAGGAATAAACCTAGGACCTTCAGGTTACAAAGCAAGCCTGCTGACCAATCAGCCACTGGAACGGAATCCAATAGTCAAACCATGAATTCTAGCTTCTGCTAATTTACGATGTGTAGAGCTACGGCCATCCAATGTCATAGGCTAGTGTTTTTCCCCACATGGGCCACTGGATTTCATCCGCGACTAAATAGTCAGCGGCGTAACCTTGGAATCATTTAAATCCCTGCAAACCGACATTTGGAAATTTGATAATATATTGCATTCTGGGGAATAAATATTTCTATGCATTTTATGAATGCTAACTTATAAGATGCGACTACAGCATATATTAATAACAGTCACAATAGCAGTCAGCGAGTTAGCATAAGTACCCTAATCGAACCAATCAAACTGCTACAGAATCTTCAACACAAAATAAAAATATTAAAGTACCCCGGTGAACCTGGTTAGAATTCTGAGACGACTAGGAGTTTCACTATCTTTGATCACCACTCAAATCATACTTATCCTAGGAAGTCTGTTCATCAAAATAGTATTGGTCATGTGTAATAGTTTCTACTTTAGGTAATTTTACATCATTTTCATCAAATGATTTCTTTTGAATGAAATGATAAGAAAAGTGATAATTCACTGCTGAAATCAACAAGCGATTGAATAAAGTAGTGGTTTTTTCTCATAATTTCAGCATAGTATAAATGAAGGCAAATTAAAGTGAATGCTCTATATAAACTGATAATATCAGCTCAGTATTGTTTCATATGCCTCTTGTTTTGTTTAAACTATCTGGATAAATATATTTATGATAAGGATTCTTCGAAACATCAAATAATCAACAGATTATACTCTCCTGTGAATTAATTACCAAATTAATTAATTAATAACCAAAGTTATCTAAGCATGCACTGAATTTTTTTAAACATCAGCGTATCATTTACCCTCAGTTAGTATTTACGACTATTATTTTAATGTAAAAGTATGCATAAATTCTTAAAACACATCACATGGAAATGATTCATCCTCTTACGTCTTCACAGAAGTCAGGGAGTTTGGTGTAATTCTCAAAGCAAATAATCCATAGGACAAAACATTGTTGGTATACATATGCATCGTATGCTAATAACCATAGTCCCTTAGCAGGTGCATTACAACACATTTACTCTCCGTTTAATTTAGTTACAATTCTATACATGCCATTGTACCTTTTGAACAATTGATGGAGGTAAAAGGACGATAAAATAATAAAAGGTTAAATACAACAACAGAATCCCACTATCTTTGTGTTATATTCTTTAAGCTTTTTAGAAGTAAGATTCCAAGTTAGATTTCAGATTGAGTCAAGAAAAACAGAAATAATTTCCTCATTTACATTCCTTTTTTTAATTTTTTAATTCTTTTACATTTGTGGTGGAATATAGGGTTTCAAAATAGAGGCTTGAAGTTGCGGTAGCAGTGGTGTTTATTTTTACGGGATGGGGTTGCCAACCTCATGCCCAACCCTTCTCGTTTAACAGTCTTGTTACTAGCTTAGGAGTGCGTTGGCAGATGGTCGAACCCCGGACCACAAGCGTGGTTAGCGAGCATTCTACTGCTGTGCCGCCGACGCACCACTTACATTCCCATTTTTTTTCCTCCACGTTCCCCAGTGGAACATAGGGCTTCAAGCTAGTTGGCTTGAAGTTTCTGTAGCAGTTTTTATTTTACAGGATGGGGTTGCTAGCCTCATGCCCAACCTTTCCTCTTTACCAGAATTATTTCTGGCTCGGCGAGGTAAAGGAGTGCGTTGGCCGGGGATCGAATCCCGGACCATGTGCACGGTCGGCGAGCGTTCTAACCGCTATGCCACCGACGCACACTTACATTCCCAGACAACATTAAAATTTTTGTCTAACATTAAAATATGATCTGTGATGTGACAGTGAACGTACCTTGCATTCCGGGTAAAACACAGGGCTTCAATCTTTGAAGCCTCAGTAGCGGTATTTTTATCTTTAAAGGGTGGGGCTATTTGACACACTAAACTTTCCATCTTTTCTAGGTCTAATATTAGCTAATAAACTAGGAGAGTTTGAGAAACGATCAGCCGAGAGAAGAACGGCGCCCACCTTCGTGACTAGAGAGCATTTTAACAAAAGGACCACCGCTGGTCAGCATAATCATATTTGTTCTCCTTACTACGATATTGTTTTGTTTTTCATTCATTGGAAAATACAAAAAACTTTATTATAATGATTATTTAATGCTTGTTAAACTGATATAATTTTTCAGTAAACGTTGATATAAACGAGAAACTTGTTAAACGAAGATGAGTTTAGTTATATGTACTTTTGGGGCTTTTATTCAGCATTTCACTTTCTTTAAGTTAGTATTAGAGTACCACTTAATTGGATGTTTGGAGACGCTAAACTTTTATCCATACATAAAGGACACTTAATTTCACTGATCGACGGACTTCTCCTAGGTGTACTTATATCGTATGCTGTAGTTATTTTGCATGAGAGCCTCATTAATGTTTGATATTTCTTCTTCTTTTTCTTTCTCAACCGTTATCAAAGTGTGCTCGTCTAAGAAGACCTGAAACAACTGATATCTTTGCGCTGATGGCATGTGATGATCCGAAGTCTAAATATTTGTTGGAGTATGTTTTCTTCATGAATACAGATATACTAAAATGTCCGTATTCCCTTCCCTTAATTAGGCAGTCTCGAAATGGTAGTTCACTGACGTCTGATTCTGCTTCCGAAGTAAACTAGATGCTGGGAGATAGATTGTTTAGTTACTCCAAAAACGAACTGTGTATATCTCATTTTAGCACTACAAAAGTATCATCAACGTATCTTAACCATGTTTCAGGAGTGAGTATGCTTGAAAAGATGTTATCTTCGAATTATAATGAATATCATCATATACCCAATGCCCAAATTTTTTCAAACTGTTAAAAGTGAACTTGGTTTGGACACATATAAGAACACAAGTTACAGACAGGTCTCTTTTTAAAAGTCAATCTGAACGAAGAATATTCTTTTCAATTATTTCTCTTCAGGTTCTAAGAATTATAAAATATAATATTTGTTATCATTAAAACAATGGTCAGTTATGCGGTGGATACATTTTTACGTAGAATAAGAGATTAGTTATGGGGTGTCAAAATGAATAGTATTTGTGTGACAAACGTACTAGGCTGAAATCAATTACAAAATATTGTGAAATGAGAGACAATGGTGGCGATTAGTCATAACAGATTCGAAGAATATGGGGTAGGAAAAATTGACAAGTCAGTTCAAGGTGACTGGTTGGCACAAAGTAGTATGTATTAAAGAGAAGATAGTAAGACTGCAATGAAATAACTAATGTGTAAAATAAAACAGGTGAAGGCATATATTGAGAAAATAGATAATATCACCAATAATAAGTCCGGATAGTACGAATGGAAAATTCGATAGTATTGAATGTT